AATTGTGTGTATTTTATATAATATCTGCGACTATCGATAAATTAATATTATCAGCTATTATAGAGTTTCAGTGAGATAAAATTAATTATGTACCATGACAATGTCCGTTTGTCGCCAAACAATTTTCGAGCCGTATTTAAAAATGAATGCTTTAAAAAACTAAGAGACCAGAGAGCTCATTTGATTAATAGGTATATCGTATATTATAATCGATCAGAATAACATAAAATATCTTGCACTATACATTTTTCAGTACATGTTCACGCTTTCCGTTCAACAGTGTTCGTGGTCTCGAATTAAAATAATTACTATATTTTAATTTAAACGATTTAAAATGGAGAAAATGTTTAGCTTCAAATTGTGCGCAAAAAAAGAATTCTATATTATTGAAGAATATAAGTTCAGTTACCATAAAATGCTTGAAATTGAAGTAAAAGAAAAAAAATATATACAAAATATTGGATAGGCAAATGAATATAAAAATAAATCAGTAATAGGTTTATTTCTTAGAATTTGTTTCGGTCTTACATTTTTACCTCCAGAAATGTTAAGTGACGTATTTGTCTATAAAATCATTCCAATCGCTCCAGAAAAATGTTTAGAACTTACTGACTACATATTAGACAATTATATATCTGATATCTGAAAATGCTCAATTTCCTCCAAGTATGTTGGCATAATGTTCGTTTAGTGTACAACGAACAACAAACGCATGTGAAGCATTTCATTCCAAATTAAATTCATCTTATTAGACTATTTAAATAATGAAATAAAAAAATTCAAAGAAAAAACAAATTCTGCTTTTATATATTTAAAAAACGTTTCACTCAAATTTCAGTCAACATTATTTTAAATAAGTAATTAATAGTTTTATAATTTATCTAATTTTCTATTTTTTTGACAGTTGACAATTTGATCTGTTTTTATTAATAATAATAAATATGTTTTTACACAATCTGTAAATAGCTTGTATAATTTTATTTATTTAAATGTGATTAAATACTTGTAATACTTATTTTATTTTATGTTTATGACTTATTTGTGCTGGGACGCAACTTAGCTGTCTCAAAAGGTACAAAAGAACGCAAATAGGTTATGACCTTTTTTGGTGGGACGCGAATTACCTACTGATAATAATCTCGGACGCAAGTAGTATGCACCAGTGTAAATCATAAATTTAAAATAATCATTATTTTTAAAATGTAGGTATTTTAATGATACTGAATTAATTTTATCGTGGTAACATTTGGACTCAACCAAAAGTCCAATAAAAAAAAAAAAGAGAGAAGACTGAAAATGAGATATAAACGAAGAGCACAATATAATCATGGAATATGAGTAAACTTTCTATGAATGACGAACCAGATGACCATAGGATTTTCTGCCAATGGATGCTACCTACATATTTTGTGAATTTATTGAACATTTTTGAAGTTACCAATATCAATAAATATAATATTGTGATTTTGCACGGTATCATATCCAATAATATGCACGGGGAAAAAAATTAGTTATTTTGACTGTTTTTATGATAAAATTAATCATAATTTATAGTTATATATGTGACAACTATAATTCTAGTGAAAATAACTAATTTTTTTTAGTAAGATAATTATTGTTATTTCAACTATAAAATTGACTACTATTTATTAACTATACATTTTAGTTGATTTAACTATTGTATTAAATTTTACAATCTTGTTAATCCAATTAAATGAATAGTTATCCTTATATGAAAATTATAGTTTTTAATGATTTTAACATTATTAAAAATAACTAAATGAATTGTTGTTCTTACCATATTTTTAAAGTTGAAAATTTGACATAATAACATTGATTATAAATATTTAAAATAAATTTATAATCAATGATAATATTTAAGGTAGGGGTAAAAGGTATTAAGGTAGGTACATAAAATAATAGTTAATAACAAAATATATTTGAAAATGTGTTGTATTACAAAATTATAATTTATTAAATATTTACATACATAAAATAGTAATCAAAATATGTGTATAAAATATAATATAATAATAATTAGGTAAACATATTTTGAATATTTTTTTTTAATTAAACATATGCTTATAATTTTAATGGTATAAATGGTAACCCATTAGAAATATTACAAAGATGAGTAGGGTAAATGTTTTCTAAATTAGTTAAGGAAATGCATATTAAATTTTGTGTGGACATTACATTAAAAGCTTGAAAATGTTTGTCAAAGTACTGTGTATTCAATTTTTTATTTAAATTTTTCAGTTGAAAATGAACGTCATCAACTATAGTGAAATACTGCATAGAACTGTCTGTTTCATTAATATTTCCAACAACAACAACATAGGGTTGTACAGTCATACCCAAATTTAATACTGAAGCTATATTTTATCTATGCATAGTTTTCATTTCATTAACATTCTGAAATATAAAATACAAATAATAATAATTAACCATTACTTATTAACTATAATAAATTACCTGTAAGTTCACAATAAAAGCATGCAATTGTTCAATTTTTGATGGTCTAAGAATTTTTTTATTGTTAAAAACAACATTAACTGGTGATAATAAAAATGGAATTAGTTTGAATGCAGCCAAATCATCATCTTTTGTAAATTTTTTAATTTCAAATGAAATATTAGTCAATTTATTACAATAAATCAGGTACACTTGCCAGATTTTAAAGGAGTTTCAAGTATTTTGGAAAGTTCTAATCCTTGTAAACCCATATTAATACAATTTTTACTGAGGTACCTATATTTTTAACTTGTTTTTGAACGTTTCAAATTTTTGAAAGAATCACATTATTTTATCTGGATACAAATGAGCAAAATCTACATCAACCTATAAAAATAGTATTACATTGTAATTTAAGTATTTAATTCAATTTATTTTGGTTGGTAAGTAAAAAACTTAAAAATTAACTAACTTGTAAACAATAGGTACTAATAAGGTAATGACTAGTGAATTTTTTCAACGCTGGATATATGTTCATCATATTGTTATTTTTTATGAAATTCAAGCCTACATTGAGACGTTTCATTTCAAAGTTTATGAAGAACACTTTCAGGTTCGACTTGAATTTTTAACCAAATAAGAGAATCTTCATAATCTTTTCAAATAATATAATAATATAGGCTGCAAGTTACCTTATTAATAAAACAGTGGCATAGCTAAGAAAAAATAGGCGACAGTAATATTAAATATGGTATTTAAACGCCCAGGTGATATTTTTTTACCACCCATAAACAATCAACCATGGACCATAGCCTCTCTTGGCTACTCCACTGCAATAAAATATTATAGTGTAAAATGTACATACATGAAAACTGTATTCAATTTAATTTTGAATAATTTTGAATAATTTTGAAAATAAAACTATTAAAAACTTAATTTAAACAAAGTGATCTCAAGCACGTATGAAAACTAAAATGTAATTAATCGGAACAAATAACAATCCATGTTGATAACCTCAAAATATGAACCAACATATTTTTATAGTTGATCCTACTATAAATAATAGTAACATTATCTTTGCCAACTATAATTTTTATTATTTTGACTACATTTTATAGTTATAAAATTTTTCTATAATAATTTGTAAAATCAATCATTATTATAGATAGTTTAATTGTATTATTTATTTATAATGTTACTATATTATTATAGTTATTGAAACTACACTCGTTTTGTTATAATAACCAAAAATCGGTAAATATAACTGTATTTATTTTAACTATAAAATACTAGTAATTTTTTTCCGTGTGATGTATTATGTAAAATAAAATTTTAATCCTATTTGATTTATTCAATGTAATTGTACAATCCCTCAATATCTATTCTACACTATCAATAATATTGATAAAAATACGGAATTATGAAATAATGGGTGGCTCTAACACAATGATTTTTAATAATACGTAAAACACAGGGCCGGATATTCACTTTTAACACCCGGGGTAAATTAAAAATGTACGCCCATTTTAAGGAGATGACCAGAATTAGTATTTATTATTATTATTTTACTACATACAGCTTAATAAATCTAATAATATTGATAATTTTGTGAAACTAAAGAGATATACTGAAACGTGGGAACTATAGAGGAATAAAGCTGACTCATCATAGTATAAAGATTTTGGGAAAGAATATAGAGAAGAGAATAAGAAGTGAGACATCAATATCTGAAAATCAGTTAGGTACTTTTGTTGGATGGTAACTTTGGGATGGATGTAAAACATAGGTTTTTCTGAAAAATAAAATGTAATCTGTTCCTTCTATTTTTTTATCATTCTGACGTTTGACACTCAGCTCTATTTTCAGCGTTGGAATATCTTTGTTAACACTACAACGATGCCTCGGACGGCGACGAACTACGTGAAAACGTAGATAAGAATTATTTTTATTTTTAATTCTATCAAAAATGACTTTGCAGGAGAAAACTATAAAAACGTAAAAAAAAGCTGGTCAAATAAGCAAAAATAATTAGAAAAACTGGAAATAAGCATTTTTTAAAAAAATTGCTGAAAAAAGCAAAAAAAAGGCACTTTCAAATTTCATAATTGTACGTGTTATAACTTGACGTTCACTTTTATAGCACTCCGCTACATTTTAAGTCAATCCATAAAAATAAGCAAATGCTTTAACTCCTGAGCCCTAATTATTACTTATTACGGTTAAAAATAAAATAATTTTATTCCCATGCCTATTATTACACATTTCTTTTAAAATTTTTATTTAATTATTTTGTAGTGATGAGTTTCAATTTAAAACTTTGAAAATACGTCCACGAAAGTCATAAGCCCGTGAATAAATCCCCGACTTCCCCCTCATAGATCTGGTTCTGGTAAAACATAACCGAAAAAGCGTGAAAACATGAGACGAACAAAGAAACCAAAGGTTTAATTGAAAGATAATTGCATCAAAAAATCTTGACAAAAACAGCGTAACGATCGCATGCACGCGCCGGGAGAACAGCTTCAAGATATCAGCATATCAACTTGTCAAGATAGACGCCATTGTCGAACAAGCTGCGGAACGCACGATACGAAACGTTGCGCAGGCATGAAAATGATAATGCACAACATATGATTACAACGTCCATGTTTGTGGCATGAATAAGTATTGTAACAATATTTGTCTAATTGTAAATCTTAAAAATTCACATTCTGTACTTTTTCTCAGCCACCTTGTATCAAACCGAGTTCAACTGAAATAACATTTCACCGGTATCCTGATGGATCTATCGCATCAAAATAGTGGAAGAGCACCACGAAAAATACTTTCATGTGCTATTTGTAAAAAGAAGTTTTATACTGATAGCGAATTGTCCCAGCACATGCTTATTCACCCTGGAGAAATACATTATTCATGTAAGTTCTGTCCGAAGAAATTTTTGTTGGATAACGATTTGAAAATGCATTTACGAGTTCACGCTGAAAAAATTCCGAATTCATGCGACGTATGCCTGAAGTCATTTCCTTCGAAGAAGATTTTGATATCTCACGGACGAGAACACACCGGAGAACAACCTTTTTCGTGTGAGCTATGTCCGGAGAAATTTTCTTGGAGGAGTCAATTGAGAGATCATAGGCGTGTTCATACCGGAATAAAATCTTTTTCGTGTAACGTATGCCCAGAGAAATTTTTTACGAATGGTGAATTGAAAATACATATGCGAGTTCACCCTGTAGAAAAACCTTATGCGTGCGACATGTGTACGAAGAAATACTCTTCGGAGAACATTTTGATAGCTCATAGACGGTTTCACACCCGAGAAAAAGCTTTTGCGTGCGAGTTATGTCCCAAAAAGTTTTCTTTTATGAGTAATTTGAGAAAACATACGCAAGTTCACTCCGGAGAAATTCCTTATTCATGTGAGGGTTGCCGGACGTCTTTTACTCGAAGAGGTAACTTAAAATATTGTACGTTTGAAAATCCATACCAGAGACACGCCTGTACATGCCGTTCGATGGGTACTCATTCACAGCCACTAGATTTTCGTTCGACGTGTGTCTGATGCCATTCCTTTTTTTGTTATAACCTTTGTTATGTCCTCATATAATCCAATGTTAAAACATTTCGTGTATTATTTGCAATAAACAATTTTTTTGCTTACTGGCGTTTTATTATTATAAATACCTATTTAATGTAGCATTAACATTTAAATATTTCTTCTATAATTATTGAGTTTTAACTATTTAAATTTTTTATTGAACTAATACAATTAGGTATGAGAATTATTTTTATTTCTTAATATAATACATTATACACTTAAAGGATGTATCGTAAAATAAATTGATAATAGATTTATTTTAATTTTTATATGAGGCTAAGTTATAGTCTATCAACATTTGAGCAGAATCTTTGGTGAAATGATATTATTGTTGGACAATATTTTATTTCAGTGTATTTTAGCATACTTTAGCTCAAGGTTTATTGTCTTAGATATATTGATAATAATAATAATAATGAGTAGTTCTGAAATATTTAATTTAGATTAATTTAATTGAAAATATTGCAGACTTTGTGTTTTTTTTATGTTGATAGCTTGTAGTAGAGCACAATTCTATGCAAGTTATTTTAGCTGATTTTCAAATTCTATACAATTACAGGTATCTCTATACAAGTATTTCGGTGTAAAATTACAGTTCTTATTTTCGAACCAAATGAACTGTATGCTTCCGTAATACGCTGTTCCGGATTTAGTGGTAGTGGGGTAAGTGAGTTTGCTTGTTCCAAGTGCTGTTGGTATTAGGGCCTTTAGTACACGAGGAGTAAAAAAAGTCATGAACATACTCCGTATTTCCACATACGTAAGAGCGTCGCATTTTGCACAATAAAGTTTTATTATAATAATTAGTATAATATTAACTTTTAAATATTTATCTTATAATAACTGAAGTATAATTAATAATTATTAATTATTTGATGTATGCATTGAACTACATGTCAACTATAATTTTCACTTTATACTTTATAATTTTATAGACTTAATATTTGAAGTACTGTTTCGGGTGGCATATTAAAATGAAATTACCATCCCCATTGGAAAAATAATATTAAAAATAAAGTATATTTAGAAGAACTAAATAATAGATTATGTAAATAAATGGTGACAGTTTTAGTAGAATAAGGACACAACATTTTTGTTGGGGAGTCTAAGCCCTCCATTAATTAAAGGAATGAGAGATGCAATAGTATGTATGAGAATGATAGCAGAAAGAATGATGGACTTAAACAAGGATTAGTATGCGTGATTCATAGATTGAGAGAAAGCATTTAATCGAGAGGAATGTAACATATTCTTACGAGTGCTGAAAAATATTGAATTGAACTGAAAAAACAGGAGATTAATAAAAGAGCTGTACAAAAGACGGAAGGTAGTAGTGAGAGTATAAAACGAAGAAACTGAAGAAATAACCATTGGAAAAGGTGTGAGACAAGTATGTTATATGTCGCCAGCACTATTTAATCTTTACGCTGAAAAACTATTAGAAGAAGCGTTGAATAATATACCTGAAATCAAAATTGGCGAAGAAAACTTAAAAAACATTAAATATGCGGATGATCAAGCTATACTAGCAGCATTTTAGAAGGTGAAGCATCTACTGATTGCGATAAGAATACCACTGAAGTTGAGAAAAAGAATTGCAAAGTATTACGTTTGGAGCGTAGTGTTGCATGGAGCTAAAAATGGTCACTGAGAAAGAAGGAAGAGAAGTACTTGGAGAGTTTTGAAATATGGTTGTAGAGAAAAGTAGAGAGCATCAAATGGTCGGACAAAATAAGGAATGAAGAAATACTTAGAAGATTGGATGAAGAAAGAGTAATATTGAAGACAATAAGAAAGAGAAAAGTAAGTTGGCTTGGTCACATCTTGGGAAGAGACTGTTTGCAAAGAAGAATAATGGAAGGAAAAATAGAAGGATCGTAATCGAGAGGAAGAAGAAAATTTGGTATGCTTACGGATATTGCACAAAGAAAACTTTTTGAACAGTTGAAAGAGGACGTTCAGGATCGTGAAAAGTGGAGAATATTGTATTGATACCCGTCTTTGGAATGATTTACAAATATATATATACTCGTACATGCCTTTCATGTCATACGCCTATAATCTATCTCTACATAATACGCCCATGATCAGCTAAAAATTATTCGTCAAAGTGCATCAACCATAAATAGCATGGGCGTCCCCAGACATTTTTCTAGGGGGGGGGGGGCAAAATTTATTTAAAAAATAAATGAAAATTTTTTTATACATTTTATTTATAGTAAATTATTATATTTCGTCATTATTAAAATTATGAATTAAAACATTACAGTTAGGTAGGTATTATTATTACAATTAAAACATTAAAAAATATTATTATACATCATTCTTTTTCATTAAATATAAATTGGAATTTTACCAATTTCTGTGGAAATAACATTATTCCAAGGGGGGCAAGTGCCCCGTCTTCCCCCCCTGGGGACGCCCATGATAATTAGATGCTGGATTTGGTTTTCATATTATTGATAAAATTACGTTACTTTGCTCGCATGTATGTGTTTTGTAAGCGATATCGATCAAGCACAATGACATACATAATTGCAGTTATTTTGTCAATCCTTTGTAGCCAAGAACAAAAAAAAATTATTCTGAATATTTGTAAGTGGTACTATGAAGTACTTGGATTTTGGGGAAAATATTATAATTAATTTGATTGTACAGTCAGAAAGTGGTTGGAAAATAGTTTTCTATTGTTCCCTTTCGACAACAAGATTTACTGAATGAGAAATGCTGTATTGTAAATAACACAAACCTATCAATCCATCGACGCGACAAGTCTATCGATAGTACTTATGTATTATTGTGTTTGTGTCTTCATTTATCTCAGACACCACGTTGTTTTCTCCATATGTTGTGTTGTACGAGTGTGTTTCTTTGGTGAATAGATTATCCTGTAAGTGGTATATAATGCAATTATCTTGCTTCTCGTAATATTCTGTCTGGGTTAATCTAGGGAGATCACTTACTAGCGATCTCTAGAAAAAAATCACTTGATTGTATGTTTTAAGTGTTGTTGTTTTCATTGTTGCATATTGTTGTGAATATAAGTTAACAGATAAAGGCTGACGAGCTAAACCAAATTATTATTATATTGTGCTTTATTATTAAAACCCCATTGATATAAAACCCCATTTTATGTCCAAATTTATAATCATTATTTATTATTCTAAATTATTGTACGGTATTCCACAAATCTAATTATTAATATTTTGTGCCTATTAAGCAAACCAAATTATTATTATATTGTTATATGTTGTGCCATACAACTTCATTGATTATTACTGAATATCTACTATTTATCTAAATTATTTGCTTATATGATTGCATTGTGTCTTATGGGCAAAATCTTATTGAATATCATTGATGTTTTTAGTATTGCAGCTTAGAATATGAACAATAAATAATACCTAACATTTTGTGCCTATTATTAACTATATTTATATTCATTATATTATAATTACACATCAAATTTAACTGTCTATAATGCTTTTGCATAAATAATTAACAACCATAACAGGCATAATAACCTGTTCTATTAAGTGGCTATTTTGTAATATTATGAAAATGAAGTTTTTAATTTATATATCAGAACTACTTAAGGGATGAGAATATGATTTGTTATCATAATTGTTAAATGACTCAAACTGCAAAATAATGCTAAAACCAAAAAAAAAAAAAAAAATACTTAAGAAAATAGTTTTAACACTGGACAACCCTAGTATACACAGAATAATTTTTAAAAGTAATTTACTACAATATATATATATATATATATATATATATAAGCATGTATAAACTACAAAAACAATAAAATTGATAAAATTAAGGAAAAGGAATTATGTGAAATTTTTTTAGAATTGAAACATATATATAAACAAACAATTAAAAATAAGATTAAAAACACCTTGTGTAATTACATACATAGAAATAGACATAGTATTATTTTATTAATTGCAATTTTACACTATTTCACGAGTGTAATCTCATTCATAAAAATAATAATAATAATAATAATAATAATAATAAGATACAGATAACATAAAAAAAATGGAACTACAGTAGGGTGCCTGTGTACTAATATATGTTGTACAATAAACACACCTACTAGTTGTTTGATTATTATATAAAAGAAAACATAAAATGAACTATCATTATTATTACTGTTATTCATTCACATTCATAGTAACTTGGGTCCAATATATTCGTTTTCATATAATTTACTTTTAGATACTAAACTAGGTAAAAAAAAAAAAATATAATGATTATAATAATAATAATAAAATAAACAATAAATTGGTAAATAAAAATAATATATGTATGTATAGTAGATGTATAAAATATGATTTTAAATAATAAATTATTAAAAATGGATTTAACAATATATATATTATGCAATATTACACATTACAATTAGAGAACACACTTAATACGTTTTACTTAATATGAGTTGGTCCTCTGTTTTAACAACATGAAGAACATTTAAAACATTTTATTAAGAAAACCATATTAATGGATTGAATTAAGAGATTTTTTCTGACAGTTTCTCTATCATTTGAAGAATATTTATTTTTGTATTAATTGTAATATTTTTAATTAGATAGAAAATAAATAATCAATATAAACATGTACACGTTTATAAAGAGATATGTTAAAAAAAAAGTAATGGTAAAATAAATAATTAACCATCAACGAACATTGAATATTTTAATACAATAATTATGTTTTTTTTTTTTTTTGTTTTTTTAATTCTACTAACAATAATATTGTCTAAAAGTTGGTTCCAATTATTTGGTTTTTATAAGCAAAAATAAGTAAATTATTAATCCAAATGTATTATTCTAGAAGAATTAAGACTTTATCGTATTATGTGAATTAAGGATTATGCTATGAATGTAAATACTAAATATTGCCCTACAAATATATGTGTTATATATATGAATATATAAATGCATAAATGGTACCTATAATTACATATCTGTAATTCTTTAATAAATACATACATATAATTATACATATATACATATACATATAATTATATTTAAGTTTATAAACATTCATTTATTATCTATATGTATTTGCATATCCTTACAATTATGGATTTATTAAGTTAATATTTATTAAACAACTATTAGAATTGAAAATTGTTAACAAGTCAAAATACATATATCATAATTTTAAAACGTATAATTCTGAATTTTATTTAAACGCTAATGTTACTAGTCTAAGAAACATCAATTTTATAGCGTCAAGTCATAATGTAGTTTATAGGAACCACAGTATATAAATAATAAGGAAATATTTTATAGAAAATAAAAGAATTACAATTTTTAAATAAATTTATAATTTTAGTCACAAAACATATTGATGAGTACCTTGTGTAGTTGTAAAATTGTGTAATAACTGTTTATTGTTTTGTTATCAATGATTATGTTTGTTCATTATCATATGAATAGATTTGTGCGTCAGACATACAGGTAAAATACATAGCTATTATCGCCATTTTAATACTTAAATATAAGATGTTTATTAAGACAAAATGAATACCATGAGGTTTAAATTTTAAACTCAATACATGGATAAGGAATTGCTTAATCAATGTTTTGTTTGAAAAACTATTGTTTTACGAGTAGAATTTGAATACATAACTGCACAAATGTACATATAAAATAAATGTTTTCAGCTAAAATAGATATTAAAATTAACCGAAAAGAAAATATAAATATACATAAACTAAATGAAGAATTAAGTCATATTGAAACAGTTCGATTGATGTTTATTTGAGTGTATTCATTTAACTTTAAGTTCAATATGTGTATTATAATACATTGTGATTGAGAAGGATAAGCATACAATAAAGTTTTAACAGGTAGACCTATCGTATTTATAAATGGTGTTTATTTTTAACCCTGGATGATTGAAAACGAGATTTAAAACAATTAATGAAATTAATAATACAATAATACACTTAAGCTCAATCAATAAAAAAACCAATTAAAATATAATATTCAGACTAGATTTGGGCCTAAATACAATATTCAGATTGGATTCAAAGTATACATAAGTTAATAATAATAGCTAATATAATTTTATTACTTAAGACTCAAAACCCAGGAATTTAAAAACATTAAATGTAAAAACGAAAAACATGTAACGCTAGTTGATTATTTGTTTAGTAATCCAGACATAAGTTTAATATGTTATTAATAATAATGGAAAACTAATTTTAATGCTTAGGAATAGTTATAAAAATTGGAAATATTTAATAATTATTATCAGAAGAATGAATAAATAATAGCTTTGTATAGATAAATATTATGCAATGGGAAATTTCAGTTCATGGTGTTATTTTATTAGTTAATTAATAAATCAAACAATCTATTGTCATGGTTGATACACGGCTTATTTTAAAATTAATGAGCTGATATTTTAACAACCAAGAATTAAGTTATTGATTGGCAGCATAAATTTCAAAACAATCACAATTATACAATCAGAATGTTTTTTTTTTTTTTTATGGAGAAATAATCAACACAAAATAATTTATGAAATAAAAGTTATAAATGATTATTAAGAATTTTAAGTAGAGAAATCATATTTATTGATGAAATATACATTTAACTATATGTTGGCACTTTTATGGAAAACTGTAATAAGAATAAAACTATCGACAATTTAATTTAATTACATTTCAAAAATAGAAAAAAAAGTAATGTTTTAAAAATGCACTTAGAAAAATAAGGAATTATTGACACGTTAGATTTACAAATAAAAACGGTCAAGTACACATTGTTGTTAACTTGTGCAAGTATTTAATAATTAATGGTATTTACAAAGATCCAGGCTTCAGAAAAAAAATACAATATTTGGCGATATCCAATAATGAACAATAAAATAATAATAATAATTAGGTACTTATAAATTAAAAAAAAAAAAAAAGTACAAAAGCAATTTGGAAAGTCGATTTAGCCATTTAAGATAAAAATTAGTAAGCAATAACAAATTCAGCATTGACTCATAAAACAATATTTTTACCACATTGTTAAATATTTATTTTTCTCTACGTGGATTGTTGACATTGATTGTTGTTTCATCATAAAGCTACTTAAAGAAGAGCGCACAGGGACTTCTTTTTCTGTTTCTGTTTTTTTTCAGGACTTTTTTTGTTTATCTGTCTCACTAAGTCGTAAAATATCTAAAACAAATAAAAAAAATATATTTTAAACACTTCATAATTGTATATACATACATTTGGATTTATTTTATAAAAATTAAAATCTACAAATGAAAATATATATTTGTAAATATGCAATAAAACAACATTTTTTCAATTAATTTTAAAATATTATTTGTTTAGAGCAATATTTTTTAATAAAATAATAATGGTTTTGTATTTATTATAGATTAAAAATTCTATTCACCAATTTGGAATTCATTAAGGTAAATTAAATTAATTCTGTAATTTATTTTGTTTATTCATAGATTATTACAACACAATGATTAAAATTAAGTAATAAATATTTTAAGTAACAACAATTTTTGTCTTATTTTAACACTGAATTAATCAGTTATATTAATTAAAACGCAAATTATTTATTAATTGACTACTAAAAATTTATTTTTATTAATTAATTAAATACTCACACTTTGTTGTTTCTAAAAAAAAAAAATATATATATGTAATTATATTAAGAATGAAAATAAAAATTATGGAAAAAATCAAATTAACTAATAACATAACTAATGAAAACAATAAATAGCTAAACTAACATATATTATAATACTTACATCAATGACATTTATTTTTGCTTTAGCAGAAGTTTCCATGAAAGCACAATTAAATTGACGAGCAAGATTTACACCATGTTCTTTACCAACTACTCTTTCTTCTTCTAAATCACACTTGTTTCCCACTAATACCATTGGGACATCATCAGTATCCTATTTTATTTTTATTTAAAACAGTAATACATTTATTAAAATATAAATTAAATAAAATATAACAAACATACCTTAACTCTTAATATTTGTTCCCTTAAATCTTGTAAATCATTAAATGTTGATTGTGCTGTAATAGAGTATACAAGAACAAATCCTTGTCCGTTTTTCATATATAAATCTCTCATTGCTGTAAATTGTTCCTGTTAACAGTAAATTTTAAATACAATTTACAATTTATTTAAGTAAATTTTAATGTAATTTAAAAATTTTTAATGAGAATTTTAAATATAAATAAATAACTATTTAATTTAAAAACTTAATTTTGTATTACAATAATTAGTTAAATTAAACAAATATCAAAATTAAAATAGTTAAATATTACAAAATTTAATTTTTATCCTTATTTATACTAAATGGCAATTAGTTTAAAATTAAGAATAATAATACTGTTGAAATAAAATTAACGAATATTTATTTTTAAAGGTGAATTTATTAGTTCTGTAAAAATATTTTAATTAAATAATTAAGGTGATAAAATTAATTAGTTTTAATATTTGGAAAATAAATAGCTAATGCCTACTTCAAATAATTAATATAAAATTATACTATTTGGAAAGATCAATACATTTTTTTTAAACTCATTTTCCAATTATAAATTGGTATTATTATTTTAAATTATTATATATACTAGAAGTTTTCAAAAATTTAAATAATATAGTTTCTATAGAATATATTATAATATATTATTTATTTTTATTTATTTATTAATACTGACAAAAGTCTAATTCACAATATATTTGTATAAATAGCAACAATATAATATTATTTAAAATAATAAGATATATTATTCTTAAGAGATATTATTCTATAGTGTCTATATAAATAATGATTATTGGTTCATAACACTTAGATGTTTTCATTATTATTTACTAAGTATATTTCTTTTAATAATAATAAACAATTATACTAAAATTGAATTATTAATTTGAATTCATTTAGATTCATATTAAATGAATATATAACATATTTTTTTAGAAATACTTGTGTACATTGGCAATGAAATAATAAGTTTGTCCCAAAGCTTCTAAATTATACTTTAGTATTTCCATAGTAAATTAATAAATTTGAATGCGATTTAATCACATAATTAATTAAAATTTCTATTTCCTATGGCATAAGTTTAATTTTTTAATTTTTTTCTATATAAAATTTTTAAAATTTAAAAAAAAGTTATACAATGTAGTATCTTCAAAATTGCTATTTTGAAAATAAAAATGATATTATTTTATTAACATTATGTTTATGAATGTTCAAGGTAACTTTTATTATTTGTAACTCAATAATTTGAACCTAGGCAATATTAAAATTTACCTATGTTTCTGATATATTTTAAAAAATGTCTTCAATACTTAATAAAAGAAGACAGAAAAAGAAACCTACATTCCAATTGAAACTGATAATTTAAGAATGTGATAAATATTGCCAACATATTTATTATTATTATAATATTAATTTAATTAATTTTCTTTAATTTAGTCAATTTTTACTCAATTTTATTATTTATTATTTTCTAATTGTTTTAAAAAATATGATAAATAATTGTTATCATGAAAATGTAAAACTCAATTTCATAAAAAGTTTAAAACTAATGCTATTCAAAAAGAATTTTTTTTTACTAATAATTTAAAAATACCATATTTAAATATATTAATTTGTTATCAAGATTCTAAGAGTGATATGAGATTTCTGGGACATACTGTACATTAATTATTGTTATTAATTAATAATGTAACATGGATTAATAGTGTAATCAGCAAAAATAAATTACTTATTTATAATTTAAGTTGAAAAAACATAATGAAATGTGTCCCCATATATGAATGTTTATGATATATATGTGTAATAATAATAATATATACATACTGTTTATAAAGTAAAAATCGAACTCCTCGAATTAAAAGGTATTTTATTTAATTTCAGCTTCTCATAGATAATAATGGACTTTACTTTTTACTTAGTCAATTTGTTAAAAATAAACTTCATAAAATACCCTATTATGAATGTTTGAAATTGATAAAAATCATAATGGACGATACATAATTTGAATACAAAAAAAAAAAAAAATAACTTGATTATTTTATTATTTATAGTAGACAGATGGTAATTATTTATAGAATACTGTAAATGTTTGAAAGTGTTTTATAGCATAATATAAAATTGTTAGAACCATATGGTTAACATACATAAAATATCCTTATATTTTAACTAATATAAAATTAAATTGTTAAATACTATACAAATACTTACTAATAAATTAATAAAAATACGGGTAAAAATATGTACAGTAATTTGTTAAAATTAAAAATATTTATTTTATCATTATTATCAAGTTTTTTAAAAATTTAGTATAGTACAAAGATTATAATTTAATTAAAAATTTGAAAATGTAAAAAAAATATTTGATATTACTTTTTAGGAAGTACAGTATATAAATATATTGGCTATAGTTTGACTAATTGGAAGTGACTATTAACTATAATCTTAACTCAAATGTGAAACCAAATTTAATAAATTAAGTACCATTTTGAAATCAATAAGAAATACTGAAGTTAACTATTGACATATAACACTTTATAAACTCAATTACTCTCAAAGAAGATTATTAGTATTAGGTCATTATATTATATTAATCTTGAATTATATAAAATAAAATGAATAATTCCATAATCTATACAGGATTAGCTTTGATTGCTAGTTTTAAGTATATTTTATTTTAACATAAAATAGTAAAAAAATCATTTTTAATTGTTATTTGGTGTCATGATTTTAATTTTAAAATTGAAATATAAATACATACTGTTCCAGCAGTGTCAAGTATTTCAAGCATACATTGTTGTCCATCAACTTCAACTTGTTTACGGTAACTGTCTTCTATTGTTGGATCATACTTTTCAACAAATATACCTTGCACAAATTGCACAGTCAATGCAGATTTACCAACTCCGCCACTACCCAAAACAACTATTTTGTATTCCCGCATTTTATTTTAAATGCTTTTGAAAATTGGTCCTTTTTAACTTTGTTTTAGATACTGAAAAAAAAAAAAATTGGAACTATAATTAACACAAAATATTGTAATTAAATATTATTTCAATAGTAGGAATTAGGTATACATACAAAGAAATAATAATAAAAAAACATCATCTTACGAAACTGTTTTCATTCAAATAAATTTGTATCAGAAAACATAGGTACCTAATGTCTTTATTCATCAAAATAACAATACATGAAATAAAAAGAAGAAACTATGATGTACACAAAAAAATATTTAGGCACCTAAAGTATATAATTTGGAGGTGTTATTGGGACTCTGTATGTTGGTAGATAACATTTAATTAAAGTGGTCTACATACAAAGTTCAATGTTTAATTAAAGATCAAATGGCTAGATAGCTCTAATAATATTGATAGAACAATGGTGAATATTTCAATTTACTTGGCAACTAGTTATAATAGCTTCTTGCTTATATTATAATATATAATTTGCAATGTGTAGATAAAACCTAATGATCTGTTTATATATTGAATAAAATGTAGAAGCATTAAAAATCTGTTGTTTAAACCAATCATTTTTCAGAATTATTTCCTGATTATATTTTATTGTTTGAACGTAAAATAAAGAATGATAATTATTTGAGACGTTCAAATTTAAGACATATTAAGCATAAGAATGAAACTATTTTTTTTACTGATCAACTAAGGAAAATCTATTCTTAGTAATATATTTAAGAGAAAAACATAAATAAGTTGGTCTTTACCAGGATCTAATGAAATACAATGTACAATTAACATTTATAAAATATTTTCCTCAATTAAATTATTTTAAAAAAATTATCTTTTTCAAATATTTTAGTAAGTGTCTAAAAAAAATCATGGAATGATCATTCTGATAAAAGTAATGTCATATGATGTGTATATTTAATAATTATTACAAATTATCCTTCATCATTTTATTTTTCTAAAAAATTGTTGTATCAAATAAACTGTGACAAATATTTGACTTTCTTTAAAATAGTATTCACAATTATCATTGTCCTAATTAATAATTACCAGCTCTACAAATGATAGTTGCGTGTAAATGTAATTCTCTCAATTTATTATCAGGTCCTAAAATATAGATTCATATTTTTATTTCTTCATTTTATTATTCTTCATTTTAAAAATTCTCTAAGGATTGTTGAATTGTTCTTACATAAAGAGCTTTATAATTTTCCAAAATTAATTATAACTATAATGCTTCAAATAAAATAGATACCTATTTAAATTTAAATAATAACTGATTAGATAAATCTTTATCATAACAATAAGAAATAAATAATTATTTTATGAATATGTTTAAAATTCACTCGTATACATGTTTGGTTTAACAAAAAAAAAATCTGTAAAATATGTAGCAAGGTTAAATATGTATATCCATCATTCAAATTAGCATAATAAATGAGACCAATTAATGACAATAGGGCTAATTTATGAATCCTAGGAAAATTTAAATACTTACATTTGATTTAATAAATAATAATTATTGGTAAAAGAACAAAATAGAAACAGTATTTTAAGTATTATTAAGAGGATTTGATACTGATAAATGCTGTCTTGGCCAATAACACATGACACGGAATAAATACTACCTACTTTTTGTTCATAATTACGGTTTATGAATTGAAACAATAAGAATTCTTAAAACAGAATTATTATCCTCGCAAAGTCTACTTGAGCTCAAACAAACAGAAGTTTTAAAGTATACTATACTTTTGTTTTAAACAGAGGATACAATATTTAAGCAATGAAATTGAAATTAAAGAAGTTGAAGATATAAATCTAAATTATGGTCCAATTGATCTCAAGTAAACTTAATGACAAATTCAAATATGTTTTCAGAATTTATATTGTTTCAATATGTCAATCATTTATTTATTTACTAATATAATAAACAAACCCATACATGTACAATTATTATGATTGTTTTTAAAATAATAAGTGATTTTTACATAATTCTTGAATGCATAAATTTTGAATGAAAACTTTAACATAATTGTTGACTAATATCATTGAGTCATAATTTGGTGACTCATTGTCTATTTATCATGGAACTAGGTATATTCTAATAATCTAAACAACGGACAAAAAAAAAAAAAAAAAAACAATAAAAAAACTAATGCGATCAAAATATTTTATTCCAATTAAATGTTGAACAAATAAAGAGAAAAACTAAAAGAAAATCGATTTGAAAATGTTTTTCAGATAGAGCAATTACCAAGAAATGTAATTAAAAACCTAAGTTAATTAAATGAATAAATTATTGTCAGAAACACAATGTAAAAACAATTGTTTTAATGTGTATGCAGCAGGTATTTGAATAAACAACTCGGGTATACTTTACTTTATCGCTTGCGTTAATAGTATGAAGATTTTTGACGTGCAAACACCTTTTAAAACAATTTCTTTTCGGAAATCACAACCTCTACATGGGCGGCACACCAGAGACCATCGTTACTTAACCTAATTAAGATATACAAAAAAAAAACTGTACGTCCTAACAAAATTCGGCGGAGAACTATGGAGCCATGACGCGATGTGTCGACGGGCGACTGCTACTTAACGAGATGTGTTGATCAGTGCGCATCGCGTACGCTTTTCATATAAATAATTGATGATAACTAACGATTATTTGTTACCAAGTGACGACTACGATCGAAGGGTAATAGGCGATGGAAGAGGGGCGGGGTACGAGGAAGGAATTCGGCGGCGGACGTTTTCCGTTAACAAGAGGTGTGAACGGTTGTGTACGTACCGGCGGCAGAAAGCAGTGAGCGAAGTCAATTGATTCGACCGTTGGGTGCCGACGAGGAGACGGCAGGAAAACGCGAGAGCTAAACGCAACCGCACTCGACGATGAACGAAACGAAACGGCGGCGTTTCGGCGTGCTGATAAGGCGCCCGCGATTGACCGGATCGGAGAGCGAGCGGCGGCGGCGGCGGCGGTGCGCGGTCGCCGTAGCGGACGGTCGTCGAGAAAAGGGGCGGGGAAGAGAGAGATGAGAGAGAAAAAAAAAATCAAAAATCGCAACAAGTTCCGCGGTGGCGTACACGCGATTCAGAAGTAAATAATTGATTTTCTGTTACGCAGCAGTACCTATATCGCGTTCGCGTTATCCTATTGTTGACATTGGAACGTCGGCGGTGCACTGGTTAGTGGATCGGACGGGCGTCCGTTCGTTGACGACGACGCTGGGAACGCGGTGGCGGCGGTGGAAATAAATCGAAAACAAAAACAAAAAAAAACCGATTGTCGAGAACGGAGCCGGCAACCGGAAACGTCGACGGCGGATGGGCCGGGCCGGGCGGGTGCGACGAATAGCGATTGACAATATCCGCGACGACGCCGTTAACGAAGCCGGCAAACGTAATTGTCGCGACGGAAATAACGTCAACGACGCGGAAATACCGAAAAGAGTTGATACTGACCTGTTACGGGTGCGGAGCGACGGCAGCAACGGCAGCAGCAGGAGAAGACGGTCCCATGCAAAGCGGACGCAGCCGGCGGTAGAGCGGGGTGGGGGGTGGCGGCGGCGGCGGCGGCGG